GCTAATTTTTTTCTTATGTATTGGCTTTCTCCCTGAGAATTTTAGGAACGTAACTCTTTTTATCTTTTAGTAAGTACGGCGAGCTGTGCACAAACAAACTTGTTGTATTTTCTGATACAAAATAGTTTTCTCTGTATAACTGCAAGGAGAACTGATTGCTGTATCACATACGAACTATTTTCTAGCGATGTGTGCTATTTCCTCTTTCAATGTGTCCTATTTTCTCTTTGAGTTTGAACTATTTTCTCTTTCAATGTGTCCTATTTTCTCTTTAAGTTTGGACTGTTTTCTCTTTCAATGTGTACTGTTTTCTCTTTGAGTTCGGACTATTTTCTCTTTCAATGTGTCCTATTTTCTCTTTAAGTTTGGACTATTTTCTCTTTCAATTTAAACTAATGTCTGTTTGAATTTTCAAAGAGAAAATGAATCATTTTTAAAGGCAATAAAAACAGGTAAATACTATTAACGATATTTCTTGTTCAAAAATTTCTATTCCAGTTTACAATATTTTATATCAAGATTGAAAATATGTCCAGTTCTGAAAAAGGCCTTTGTCCTATTTGTCGAGTAACCGTTCAAGTGAAAAATTTCAAACGTCACTGGTGTACTCATCATGAACGAAATGAAAAAAAAAGAACATATGATGAAGCTTTCAACACCTTAAAGACGAATATTTCAAATCAACACAAAATTACCACAACACCGTCAATTGACAAATTTTTTAACCATAATAAACGTCGATTAAGTGAAGATGTACAACAAGAATGCATAACAACAATTATTCAACAAAATTTTGATACACTTTCTTCTCCATTATTAAGTTCAAATATTCACTTGAATGAAAGCAACAGCGATAGTTATGATGATATGATCGTATTACGACAAATACTCGAAAATATATTTGTTCAATTAGAAAATGAACAACATATTTTTTATACAAGTTCTATTATAGATAAAAATAATCATTTAATATCAACAGATAATCCATCTATTGATATGATTGAGACTGAAAACATAAATGATAATGATGTTTCAATGTCATTAAATGATTTAATACATGATATTGTTAGTCCTGATACAAGTTATAAAAATTTTATTGATAATGAAATATGTTGTTCATCGACATATATACCGAGTAATCGTCCACCTTGTGTTAAAATATCAATACCAGGTGTACAATTTATAACAGATCAAGAATTAAAATTTGTTGATCAACAACGATCATTATTGAACGATTATATTTGGTTACCAGATGGTGCTGGTGGTGAATCAAAGCCAAGTTCAACTTGGCTTACAGCAGCAAGAGCAATCTGGCTTCGTGCAATATATTCGGAAAAAAAATACGGATTATTATGCATTATTTGTGCACAAGAAGCAAAATGTAACTCAAGATTAGTGAAAAACAAAGGAGCTTTTATTTCTCATCCTTATTGGAAACTGCTGCACAAAGGACTTGAAGGTATGATTAACTATGAAAATCTTTCAATAGCTCTTTAATCTATTGAGTCTAAATTCTTCATACAACTAAGATCATCACAAAAAGACATTCAGGTTTCGGTGAAGCTTTTGATAGCATACTAAATCAAAATCATTTTTCAAAATTCGTGCCTTATCGGTAGATTTGACAATTTGATGCACTAGTTTTTCCTAGATTAGTTTATATAATTATGACGCTGCAGTGTTTGTCAAGATATGTAATATATTTGTCGAAGTTGAGCTGATACTCCAATCCAAGTCTCCCACAAGCTTTTAATTGTATCGCAGTAGTAAACAAGATAACGCTCGTCGTTACGACTCGCTTGACCCTCGACTGAACTCTTTCTATTCATCTTGGGAATTATTGTCAAATAATTCGCCGATGTATGCGATGCTACTGATGCTACAATAACATTTGATTCTAACTAATTCTTTATTTTTTCAAAATAATATTTATTATTGAAACTGTAACATTCATTGTTCATCATGCATGCTCAAAAGATCAGGAAAATGTAGGACTGCTGCCCCTCGATTGATTAATTTTACACTCATATCTGTGAAATATCTCACGAGCAATAGATCACTACCTGCTAATCGTTAGCTTCCTGCTCATAGATTGGTTTCGATACATCTACAAACAAATGATTTACCTGTAAATAAGAGACGTTGACACATATCTCGCAGAAAACTATTTGATTTATAGCAAAATAATTCTTGATAAGAATGCTAACGAGAAGTTTCCGTCGTTAACTATCGGCTATAACTTCAATTTCAAGATATTTCTAAATGTTCCGCGTCATATCGAAATTTCTGCATATCACACTCTTAATGCTTTCACTATTAATTACAAAAGCAGGAAAGTAGAAATAGTTAAATGAACAAGGATTGGATATTGTAAAAAAATGCGTGCCTTAAATAAATTATACAGGCCAGCGACTAGTCGATCGTCGGCAGCCCTCTGAGGTGCCACTCACGGCTAGTCGCTACCATGTTTACATCTCCTATACCAATTAATCGTCCAATTCAGATTGCAATTCAATCAACTCTCATGGAACACTTTACGAAAGACTATTCTATTACTATAAAAAAAACTTCTCAATGAGAAATTTGAAACTAGATCTATTTAAAGAATGCCTTTGAGTAAAGTAACAAATGTCCAAGTTAACTAAGTGTTACCTTAGTATTTAATTGCTTCTTCTCTTTTATAACCAACGTTTAATGATATTCCACAAATACATATAAATCGCTTCGCACTCTAATTCACAACATTTATATACAATTTGTTCAGTAATATTATTTGACGTTCGATTTCTATCGTTGCCGTTTGCGAAACAAGCCTTTAATGTTATATGAGCGTCTCAGTTATTTTTAGACTGGTTTTCAAAGCGATTATCTTTTCACTTTAGATCACGAAACATCCGCATTTTTTATCCACATAGAAGATATGTTAATACAAATGCGCTAACACATGCATTTCGTCAAATGCATGTTCAAGATGTTTCACTTCTGCAGAAAAATTTTTGCTCGAAACTGATTTAGAGAAAAACTTGCTAGTTTTTGTCGCTTTTGCATATGATACCAATTGATTGAACCACAAAGATAGGCAATTTTTCTATGAACTACGACACTACGAAGCTCACCTCCGATTAATGGTACAGACCAGCAACTACTCCTTCGTCGGCACCTCTCCGGGGCGCCACTCATGGCTAGTCGCTTTCATAGTGACGTCTACTTCTCCGGTCCATCATCTTCTGTTTACACTTAGAATCTAGTCGATTTATGTTTCACTCATTGAAACAAATAGTTGTACTTATGACAGAAGATATGCAGACTAGAGAATTTCAAACACAAGGACACACAGCAATAGAAAAATTCATTTTATTTCATTCAATTTTGCTTGAGACAGTGTGAATATAAATTCTTTGTGTGCTGCTTTCTGTCTAATGTACTATTTAGATATAGTGCCCATACAGAAAAACTGTTGTCATACTTAGCTTGAAAATATTTTTTTAGTTTTTTACCGGTTCCGATCCTTACTGAAGCTCATCAAATTTAGATTCTTGGCGTTTTTCTGATCAATCCTAAATAAAAATAATTTCTGACAACCACTTTGTAGCTAAGACTATTCTCTTTCTGACCATATAAACAGAAAATAATTTCACTTTGGATCTACCGATCAAATCTAGCAAAAACTATCTAAACATACACTTTGGCGATTTATGTCTCGACAGATTAATTCAATCTACTAAAGCCAATTTAAAGGCAAACGCGAATTTACTTTTAATATTCGATAGACCAAAGAGCGAGAAATCTTGTAAGAAAAAAGTTATATCAGTATAACTTGAGAAAAGTCAGAAACGTTTTTTGTGTATATTAAACAAGAAAATAATGCAGTAATAGAAACAAAATTTTTTTCCTTTTTTTTTCAATTTTCAATTTAAATCTTGAAGAGATAATAGAATTTTCGACCTTGACTGTTATTAACAAGCTGGTAAGAGCGGTCGTCATCAGTACAAATATTCAATAATCTAATCCATAAAATAATCTATAAAATGGATTAGATCAAAGATTTTAGATTATGGATTGGTTTTATAGACTGTTTTATGGATTAGATTATTGAATATTTCTACTGATGATGACTGCTCTTACCAGCTTGTTAATAACAGTCAAGATCGAAAATTCTACTATCCCTTCAAAATTTGAAATGAAAATTGAAAAATAAAAGGAAAAAAAAATTTGTTTCTATTACTGCATTATTTTCTTATTTAAAAATGTTTTTTTCAAGGACCTTCTGGATCAAATTAAAAACCAAAAACAAGCGGGAAGGATGCTACTTTTCTGTTAAACATCCCGACAGATTTTGAATTTTGTTTCTTTGATTTCTTGGTAACTATAGGAGTTAAGACCATGATTTTTTTACCCTTTTTAGATGACTGTATGGTAAAACTGCGAGAAAAATTTCAGCTCTTAAGCACATATCCTTCGCGAGAAAATAGCATTTTACTCGAAAAATGTCCCGACAGATTAGAACGATAGGTATTTACAGAAAATATAATTTGATTTCAACTTATTTGACTTCATTCGACTTCTTTCAGACTGAGAGACGCCTTCAGACATCTACTAAATTTTCTGCTTAAGTTGGATGACCGTGAGGTTCGAGGATAAAATGAGTTAGGATGGAGCTGAAAATGTGAGGATGTCAGCCGCACCTTTACGCCCCTGAGATATGCATGTGTATGTGCGGATAAATTTCTGCATATGCTCATTCGATTCTCCTTTTCAAACCATTCGACTGGTACATAATAACAATATATAAATACTCATATAGTGATCATATTTTGTCCAAATATTTCTGAACTATTGGATTTGATTGTATCGAAAAATCTCGGAAAATATGCACTTTTTAATAAAACTCAATTTTTTTTCCAAAACGAAACAAG